TCGTCCCGCGATCGACGCGTTGGACATGCCTCTTTTAGTGCATTCCTTGGCCTGTATATGGGCTGATGCATTACTAGCGCAATTTTCCCAGTCCTCTGTACCTATTGGCTCAGACGGGCCACCAACCACTGCTCTCCGCGCGATTTTACGACAGGTATACTTAACGTATAAACAGAAACACGCCGATCCTTCACACTTTCACACTGAAAATGGGAGCAGCATTTACTTCCGAAACGTCGACAATACTGCCCACAGTCGGATGTTGTAATCATCCGAGAACTGAATTAACACCAACAGTTAACCACCATAATAATGCCAAATCAGTAATATGGAGATTTTCACTAAAGAATTTAATAAATACGGTTCTAATTAATATAGAGCAAAATGGACGCTTTGCATGGATACTTGATTGTGTACAAACGAAGACGTTTGTACCAATTTAAAGTTTCATACGAACTATCAGTGACTTAATACAGAACAAAAAATAATTCCTTCTTTAGTAGCAAATAATGGCAAAATAACCTCAGCTTTTGAGGAACTTCAACCTCAACAGTATGGACGCAGCCCACCCGGTCTCGCCATATTTTCTTTATGATCTACTACAACGTTTTCTTTTCAAGTGTCCTATTACCTTCAAATTTTCTTAATATAGTATATTACGATTATCTTATGAATCAGATGCTGTCATATGTCCGGTCCATCTAATTATCATATATTTAATAGACCCAATAATACAGAGTGTCCGGATGAAAAGTATCCAAAATAAAATAATTATATTTCAGAAAGATTTTATTATACACATTTATGGGTTACACCATTATAAAGGAAAACTATCAAAGTTTTTTCTGAGTATATAACTTTCACAATAAATTTCAACGTGGGCTCCCTTGGTGGTACGACAAATATCCAGACGATCCAGCATGTTTGGTGTTACCATAGCCACAGCGTCCCTTATGCGGGCTTTCAGGTGTTGAAGGTCGCCGATCCTAACCTGGTAGACAATGTTCTTCATATAACCACAAAAGATAAAAATCAGTGAGGTCAAATCTGGCGACATAGGAGGCCAAGAGATTGATACACTTCTGCCGATCTATCTCTCAGGCATCACTCTGTCCAAGTAATTCCAAACATGGTGACAGAAATCTGGCGGCGCATGCGCGTAAGCCGGTCATGGAAAAGAAAAAATACAGGGATTTTCTTTCTGATGACATAAACCTGATACGTGCATGACAATTACGTTCCGAGATATGTTTTATTTTGGATACCTTTCATCCGGACACCCAGTATTTAGGTGACTGCACAATACAGGAATAATAACGAGTTTCATGGACGCGTCTTCTCTGTTACATCAATCGAATTACACGGCCCTAAAGCAGTGATGGTCGTGTTCTTCACATTCACAGCTGTTGAAACCTCAAATCCAACATGGCTGAAAATAGTTAATAGTTTTATTGTCCAATGACTACAATTCATCTGAAGACTGCAGCAGATACAGCTGCCGAAACTCTGATTATATCATAGGCTCATAGGCTTGAGAGACGTTGAGGCTCCCACATTTTCTAGACAATCGGCTCACGGACAACGGTGAGGTTGTCAGCTTTACTCGCCGGCCGCCCTTTACCCACAGGAAGATTACCGGTTCCCATTTCTGTTAGAGGCTGCGTCGATCCCAGGACCATAATGAGGACTGAAGGACTAGGTAAATTGAAAAGTCCAATGACCTCATCGGGAATTGAACCCGCTACCTTCCGGCTTGTAGCATAGTGCCTCAGCCAACTACGCCACCGCCGGTCCCGTTGATTACAATTAAGATCCAGAAAAAGATAGGTTTCTGAACTGAATTAAACGGGAAGTAGACTTGTAGGTGTCTGGTTTTGACACACTGAATAGTGATAATACTGATCCCTGTTTGTAATCTTGTGTCATGGCGCCTGATTTCGTTAGGTGATAACTCTTGGGAGGGGGCTTCCAGAGAAACAACAGACGGAGGTAATGGAAGGAAAGAGAAAGGGATTCAGATGTATCTGTTCCAGTTATTCTGAAGACAGAGGACGTCAGGATAGTGAAAAGATTACAGGCTGCTGAGGTTTCGACTTCCGATGGGGGCAACGGATTGATCTCCAGAGCTATTATGGGGCCCATCCTGTCTCCAATATGACGGTACTTTGGTGGGGGGGAGTCTTTCCTTGAAACAGAGCAGCTGACAACTAAATCTAACTACTTACACATGTTCACTTAGCGTTGAAGTTAAAAATCTAAGATATGCAGAATGATTCTAATTTATGGTCGGGGTTTCCGTAGTCTATAAACCAAAACACAGACAATAATTTAGAAATATTCTGTGCTTCCGCTCATGTATATGGCTTTATTGCGTGGTGCTTATTTAAGCACAGGGAAAACTTTCCGCTTATATTTGTTCAGTAATCCATTTCTTATATTTATTTTTTACTTTTTATCGACTGTTGTGGTTTTTATGATAGTCACTAATCTCCAAATCCGGTTCAAAATTAATGGCTTTGGAAGACAGTTTTTAAAGTTTTATTTCTCTTAGAATTTGCGACATAAAAACAGTTTTCCACCTCAGAAAAGAAAAAATTTCTCGTTCTCTTTTCGCCGGTTTTGTTAAGTTCCACGTGAGGTCAGGTATTCTGTAAAACTTAAACCATAAAGAGAATAAAGTGGAAGGACGGACCTAGTTCGTGACACTGTTCAGTCCTTGGGACTGCTGGGAAAATGTACATAACTATCTCCATTGAGCTGAGCCCTCCTTGAGAAGCCGCCAGTCACGCAGCTACTCAAGAACTTTCCAACATTTTATGGAACCAGGAGGTTCGTTACCTTGTTCACAGGAGCCTTCCACTGGTCTCTATCCTGCGCCAGATGAATCCAGTCCATACTACGCCATCCTTTCTCTCTAAGAACCATTTTGGTATTATCCATCAACTTACGCCTTGTTCTCCCTATTGGTGCCTTTCTTCTGGCTTTTCCACCAATATCCTACACGCATTTCTCTTCCTACATTCGTGCTACATGTCCTGCCCACCTCACCTTCCTTAACTTGATCATTCTAATTTTACTTGGTGAAGAGTACAAGTTATGAAGCTTCTAGGAAAATGTATATACAGGAGTGATTTATAAATTCTTGAAAAAATATTTTACAAGCAAGGAACATGCATACGATATATCGTCATAAAATTCAAAGGCACCACACATTCCATTTCTGTATTTATTATACAAAAATTACATATTGCTACTACATGACCAATAACAAGGGCCAGTGATTTTGTTAGGTAACAAAATAAAAATGACATCTTCCTTATATAAACAAGTAACATTTATGTTTTGGAGCTCCAGTGAAACAAAAGCCTTTCCATAGAATTCTGTTAGCGAATTGTTAATCTTTTTCCATTTGTCTTATCCTTATAGGTTGTGTGGAAGACCAAATTACACACACGTATAATACTACAGGCATAATTACAGGCTCTACTTTCGTAGACAGCAGAAGAGAAGCTAAAGATTCCGAACTAAATGGCATCAAGCAGTCCTCGAATTTAATCTGCTTTCCATCCTTTTCATGAACGTATTTTTTATTTATTTGATAAAATCTGAAAATCTGTGACGATGGTGCATTCGTACAAGTTTTTGGACATTATCCATCGTCTTGTCTATATCTAAAAACAGTAACGCTTGCTACCATTCAATCCAGAACCTTTTGTCTTCTCGTCTGCTGTCCAAAAATATAAAAATTAGAATATACAAAACTATAATTTTACCTGTGGTTCTGTATGGGCGTGAAACTTGGTCTCTGACATTAAGGGAGGAACATAGATTGAGGGTGTTTGAGAACAGGGTGTTGAGGAGAATATTTGGACCGAAGAGAGATGAAGTGACAGGAGGTTGGAGAAAACTGCATAACGAGGAGCTTCACAACTTTTACACTTCTCCAAGTATAATTAGAATAATCGAGTCAAGGAAGATGAGGTGGGCAGGTCATGTAGCATGAATTGGGGAGACGAGGAATGCGTATAGTATATTGGTGGGAAAGCCAGAAGGAAAGAGAGCACAGGGAAGAGCAAGGCGTAGGCGGGTGTACAATATTAGAATGGGTCTTAGAGAGATATGATGGGATGGTATTGATTGGATAGATCTGGCTCAGGATAGGGATAAGTGGAGGGCTCTTGTGAACACGGTAATGAACTTTCGGATTCCATAAAGTGTTGGGAAATTCTTGAGTAGCTGCTGAATTGGCGGCTCCTCCAGAAGGGCTCAACTCCATGAGTAAGTAAGTAAAATAACTCCTGAGTCACATGTCATATTGTTTCTTCTTGTTTAATTCTTATGACCCCCCTCCTTGGTGTCTCCACCTTATCGTGGTGAGGGGGTTTGAGTATGCCAAGGACCCTGAGAGCTATACCAGCGGTAGCGTAGCTACTGGCAGGGCCTCCCTTGCTGGACAGGTCAAAGGGTAGGCATCAGACGAAGAGAGACACCAAAAACTGATGTCGGAAGCAGCGTCATCAGCAGCGACTTGAAGCACAGAGCAAATGATGCTCGAGATGGTTCAAGTTCGTATAGCAACAGGCGTGACCAGAGTGGTTTGAACGGCTGTTGTACTGCGATGTGGAAAGCAAATGGAAAAACTACCACATTATCACTTTTCCTGGATAGTCTCTTTCCAAAAACAGAAGATCGCATTAAGTGGAGAAACTGTTTTGAAAGAGACTGTGGACCTGTCGTCTGACAGATTACTGATGATGATGATGATGAATTCTTATGATTTTAAGCTGTCACACAGCGGTGGTACAACGCCATGTAGTCTGTAGATAGTTAAAGCTTAAAAGAAAACATCGCCTCCATCTTCAGTGTTGAAGAATAAACGAATCAAGAAACAAGCATTAAGCATGTAACTTAGTTACATGTTTTATGTTTTTTATTTGGCTTATCTTCATAGAATGTTCCTCAGAAAGATGCGTTTATTTTCAATGTACTACACGGCGTTGCTTCACAGAAGCCAGAACTCTTGGAGTATAATTCTGCTCCCGAACTTCGGTCCCTGAAATAGTCGTCCGAGCTAACTGTAGTACAGTTAGTCCAAACCCGCACGCTGCTTTTATCGAATAGGTGTGGTCAAGAACACCATAATTTGATTCTGGAGAAATCGAGATAAGAAGAACCCGATAACATGAAAAACGCTCGTTGTTCATAAAACGGAAACTGCTTTCTTTTTATACATTCCAACGACTAAGTTGCGATTTTCAGCTCCAGAAAACGGTATGATGATTCGAAGGAGAAATTTCCGCTGATAGTACTGAATTCTCGAAACGAGAGGCACTGCCTTGCAGGAATCTCTCCTGTACCCGAGCCTGTGGAACAGAGAAAACAATCATACTAACAGAAACTGTTCTGTTCAGTTCCACATTCTACTGTATTGTACTGGGATTGAAATAAACGCAGTGCAAGTGTTTTCTACCTTGCAGACAAACTGCAACTCAAGAACAAGCTGTAATGGAAAGACAAGGACGCACACGTCAGTGTAACGTAATTACCTACATAGGCCCCCGAGGATTCAGAGCCTCAACGTACGTTCACCAGAGCACCGCAATGACGTCAAGTATTTATTGCTTTATTAATACAGTAGTCACCAAAATGTGGCATTGTCTTATTACAAGAAATTCTGCAACAGCTCATTTCTAAATACCTAATTTTATTATATTTTTACACCACATCCATGGAATAGTATTTAACTACTACGTGTGTTCTAGTTGAAAAAATAATGTCTAATGATGAAGTAAAATTTTATTGGAAGAAAAGTGTTTATATAACTTTTTACGATTTACTAAATTTAGTTATATTTTCTGATATGGTCAGTGCGTGCTGCGGTAGAGTGCTGAAAATTAATCAGAATAAAAAAATAATCATGCGAAATGTCGAAAAACGAATGCAGTTTCATGACACAACTTTTAAAACATTAAGAGTACTCTCATTCAGCCCCATTTACACACTAGAAGTACCAAACAGTCATACAAATGGGCCAAATGGGCACAACATTTCAGAGAACATCAATTCCAAAGCCATCATACTAGTGTGAAGCTATGGGTCTTGCCCTAAGAGTGGACAGTTATCGAACTAGACATGACGTTATTCGAGTGCTGAATCTGAGGCCACACCATTAACTACCTAACTCCATGGAGGAAGAGTCCTTTTGAGAAGCCAACAGTGGCTCAGCTACTCAAGGATTTCCCAAAATTTTATGGAAACTAAATGATCATTACGGTGTTCACAAGAGCGCTCCATTGGCTCCTATCCCAAGCCAGATCACTTGCAAGACGTTCATAAGGAAATTTCCTGTCATAATATTGTAACGTGTCTGGAGTAGATATTTCCATGGTAACGCGATAACATTGAACCGTTGCGTAGTGAGTAAAGTAAAGCTATGACCGTACCAAGACGTGAAGGCCCATAGGGTTGTGAGACGTTGAGGGTCCCACATTGTCTAGACAATCGGCTCAAAGATGGCGGTAAGTTTGTCAGCCCTAATGCCGAAACAACGAACGCATTCCCGCGGAGATGAACAAGAGAAGGCTGCTGAGTAACAACGGATGGGACAAAACACGTTACCACCGCATACAGAGCGTTCCCGAAGCAAAGGGTTGCCGAACACGCAAGATCGAAACTTGGCGAATGGTGCCTCGTATCCGGTCCGCATAATACCTACATAAGCCGAGGACCATAGAGCTAATCAGCCTTCATACAACGCAGTTGGAACCTAGCCCTCATACAGTACAGTTGGAACCTAGTCGAGGCGTCGCAGAAGTCACGTGATACCACGAGCGATAATAATTGTATGGTGTGTAAGTGTGAGTGTCCAATAAAGATTCGCTGAATCCGAGACCCGAGTGAATTTATTTGTCGCGTGACGTACCCAACACGTGACAATATTTTGCTTCCATGTAAGCACGCTGGATATAACGTAGAGGTTCAGCATACAAGAATCGAGATACACAGGGAGCAAAAGTAAAGCTTAGTGCGTTCTTAACTGCTTTACTGTTTCTTTAATGCCTATTTTAATATTATCCTCTCACCTTCATATTCTCTGCCATCCTCTCACCTTCATATTCTCTGCCAAGTTTTTACATTAAACCGTGTATGAGTTTGTCATCTCCCTCATCCGTGCTCCATGTCCAGACTAGTGAGGGTCTAATTCTTTTCACCCTATAATATTTTATGAAGAATAAAATCTATCAGTCCTTTATTTTCTAAATTTACTTCATCCTCTCTTTTCTTCATCTCTCTAAGGTCCAAATGTTCTTCCCGTTACCGTTTTCAGACACATCTAATCTATGTTATTCTCTTTGGGTGAGAAAACAAGTTTCACGGCCAACCTCGTGCAGCTAAAGATGATGTCATGTTTCGTGTAAGAGAATGCTTAAGTTTTGTTATAGGAGACATGACATTCAAAATTATAAGCTGATTCTTAACATTAAGAACCATGAATTAGGTAAAGGTATTTTTTATACGTAAGAGAATCAAATCAGCAATGGAAACAGTAGAGTTTCCTCGTGAAAGGTTGTCGTGCATAATACTAAGACGGATATGGTGATTAAATTTATGATATAAAGGACAGCTGGTATGAGGAACTAGAATGTGTATTCAATAAATTCCTCAAAATGTCATGTGAATATTTTGTAGGTAGGGAAGACATTTTAAAACCAGCAATTGGGGATGAGAATTTACACGAAATTATTAATGATAATGGAGTTAGAGTAGTAAATTTGTCATATCCAAAAATCTTACTGTCAAAGGTAAAACGTAAAATTCATAAATTTACTTGCACATAGTTTGATGGAAAGACTTTACAATAAAATTGGCCATATTTTAGTTGACAGGAGACGACATTCAAGCGTACTTGATCGCCGATCATTCAGGGCAGCAGACTATGATACTGACCACTACCTTGTGGTGGCAAATGTTAGGGAAAGACTGGCAGTGAATAAAAAAACAACGCATAGAGTTCATATGGAGAAGTTTAGTCTCAAGAATTTAAAAGAGATAAAGGGCAAAGAACAGTATCAGCTCCATGAAGTTAGTTATGTTAACATTAGCTTCGAAGAAAGTTTAATAATATCTGTATATACTGGTAGCTCAAGACAGGGACAAGTGGAGAGTTCTTGTGAACACGGTAATGAATCTTTGGGTTCCACATAATACTGGGAAGTTCTTGAGTAGCTGCATAATTGGCAGTTTCTCAAGAAGGACTCACCTCCAGGAGTGAGTGAGTGTATGTATAGGCATGTAACATACCTTCTAAGACCACGATGTAGATAGAAGAATAGTATTGAAATAGATCTTCTGGCAGTACATTATAACAGTGTTACGCTAATCGAATTGAAATGACCCCAAGAAATTTGTAGCATATACTGCAACCTAAGTGTAATTAGAATGAATAATTGAACTAAGATGAGATGTGCAGGACGTCTAGTAATGCATATATGATTTCGGTGGGACAACCAGCAGGAAAGAGGCTACTAGGAAAATCTAGACGTGGGTGGGAGGATAATATTAAAATTGGTTTTAGAAATATTGGATAGTGTGTTATGGAGTGTATTTATCTGAATCAGGATAGGGACCAGTGGAAAGCTCTTGTGAACCCGGTAACAAAATCTTGGGTTCCATAAAATTTTGGGAATACTTGAGCGACTGAGCAACTGACAGCTTCTCAATAAGGGCATAATGGAATTAGTCAGTTCGTTGTTATTGCGAATGTCATGCTTTCCTCGTCTGCTATTTTCTTTTTCATTAAAATTCCTTATAGAAAATTTAAAAACAGATTTCAAGCTACCGAAAAGTCAGGGTCATGTCGGTTCAGGTTAATTACTGCTGGTCCTCGCCAGCACAGTCATTGTTGGTTCCGAGTCTCGTGTCGCTTATGACCATATTTACTGCCTCGCGACTTTGAAACTAGTGCAATTCAGCTACAGAAGAGTCAGTAATACATAAAAATTGGATTATTATAGAAAATTCGGAGAGGTGAATTGACTTATATTTGGGGGGTGGGCCCACTCCATTTGGAATTTTTAAAACCTGCTATCCAGACTAAAGTTTACAGTGATTTCCCTCACTGCAATGAGAACGCAATGCTGTTGTGACGAATTACACGACGACCATCCGTAAATTTTGATGGGTGATTAGCAAGTTTTAGGAATTTGGGTTCTCAAAGTGATGCTTATAAAGTCCTATTTTCTCTGATATGACGCCGTGTAATCCGCTGAAAAGTAAGAAACTGTTCGGAGAAACGTGTCTCCCCCGTCTTGAGGGCTAAAGAATAAGATAAGCAAGAAAGCAGCATGAAGCCGGTAGAAAGCAGGGCTCTGAGAAACTTCGGTCGACTTTCAAAGGACTACGCTACGTTATATCCCGGACGATAGAGAACTATTCGGTTTACAAGTTACTTAACAATGTTGCTTGTATTGCAGACACTAAGAATGCAAAGGATATTCGGTAAGTGATGGTGAATAAGAAAAAGACATGGACTTTGAAAGAGGCAGTTGCGTCTTATTTGAAAGCATTAAGTTGGGATCCTCGCTGAAAGATCGAGGAAAACAGTAACAACTCTCAGCGACGATAACAGCTGCACCGAATCGGGCAGTATCAGAATGCAAGTCTTCAGAGCCATATTGTTACATTCCCTGCTAGAACCATTCATGCGACTTCATTGTTCACAATGTCCTCTCATCTCATCGTTAAAAGTCAATACATTGCCGTTAAATTACCCAAGAATCAGCTAGAAAGGATATGTATGGAGAATGGAGGAGTTCTGCAATAATAACTGAAACCAGTATGTGAAAACATGAACGAATAAAGTAAACAGTTATGGATGTAAATTCATTCATTCATCAGTAATCTGTCAGACGACAGATTAAATAAAAAAAATAAAAGAAAGAAAACACACGAAGAAATTCTGGCAGGGCCTATCAGTCCCTTCTGTGTTTTCTTCTACGTATTCTCGATATTTCAGACTCTTCAGAGACGAAGAGAAAGTGGACTGGTGAGTAGCTGACTGAAGTCCTTAGCAAGAAGTGGTCGTGACCTATTTGAAGTACAATCCTAGTATATTTCTGGAAGGAAAATGATGACAACCAAAATTAAGAAAGTCGGTGTCCCTGCAGAGATTAGAACCGTGAACCTCTTAAATACGAGTCCAGATCGTTACCGCTACGCCACCCTGCTCAGTGGTATTTCGTACTATAAGTATATTATTATATAAAACAGAGAAAGCAATTAACATGCTTCACTTTTCACAGCTTTACCTACAGACCCGTCTGTTAGTTCTTGCTTGCTTTTAAAAATAAGGTTCTGTAGGCTT